TTCAAGGTAATCTATCTTCTCATTAAGAATATGTTTAGTTAAGAGAATGTTATATTACTAGGAATGTTATATTAAGGGAAATATAGATTACCTTGAAGATTACTGAAAATGTTTAGGGAAATGTGTTTGGTTAGGTTATAATAAATTGGTGGGCATGTTATATTCATATGCTTGGTTAGGAGGTAAATGGGTAGATATGTTATTCAGATTATTAAATTGCCCTCCTTTTAATAATATAATATTATTTTTTGAACCATCTCTTTTACACCCCTACATTTGAAATTTTGTTAAAACACCCCAACCATATAAAACTTTAATTTGTAGCAAAATCACCCCCACCCACCCCAAGCCATTGCCGATAGCCAGCAACCACCGCGAACAATTATTGAAATGGTGTAGGATTGGTCGAATCTGGTTGGTCGTGTGCCGGTAAGGCCGTTTCATGGCTAAAGATGTGATCGTGAAGCGACCATAGATCGGGCCATGAGTAAGCCAGATCTTTGGCCATGATCTTGCTGTTTCGGCTAGATTGAAGGCAAGAAACAGCCAAATCGACGCACGGCTAGCCAGATCCTACCGGTCGTGTGTCGATATGGCGATTGCTGTCGACGGCTAGTGGTGGTCTTAGGTGGTTGGGGGTATTTTGTTAACTTTTAAAATTTTTGTGGGTGGGGGTGTTTTAGCTAAATTCTCAAATGTAAGGGGTTTGGGTAATGGTTATTTGGTAGACATTTGAGGGCAATTGTCTGTGAGATTGTATTTAATTAAGGGCAAAATTTATATAAAAATTAGATTATCTTGGTAATCTTTTAATAACACCTCGTGGCAAGGTAATTTGATTAGCCCTTATATTATCAACAGTAAATACTATTTACAACAAAAGATTACCGCAATATTTTATTACTTGTAAACCAAACAAGGGAATCTTGAAAATTAAACGAAGATTATCAGAGTAATCTTATATGACCCCAAACCGCATTCCCAATAATATAACATCGCCTTAACCAAACACCCCCTAAAACTAAGGAATTTAAGGTATATATATGTTGATACAGAAATCCACAGCAACCAGCGAGATCCGATCAACCTTGCTGGGATCGAAACTGATGTGTGCGTGATTAAGAATAATCAGCAATGTAAGTAAAAAGAATGCAATAAAGTAAAGACAATGAGAGTTTTAAAGTGGTTCAGCGAGGTTAGCTCTAAAGCCTACGTCCACTGTTTTTGTATTTACTGTGAGAGCTTATAATATAGTTCCTATGTGAAATTTGTAACCCCTTCTTGCCTGTTTGAGGGGGTTTATATACAAGATTTGTACAAAAAAGAGAGCGAAATTAAGGGGATTACAATTGATCTGAATCGTAATTATGATATTCTCGCGATTGGGAGCTGTGATTGCACAGTGATCGTGGTTGATCTAGCCATTCCCGTAATATCTGGGATTTAAAATAATCTGGAGGTTGATTGAATGATTTCTTGAACTGTCCATGACTAACTTATGCTAGGTCGAGCTTCAGCTCGATGAGCTTATGCTGGGTTGATTAATCGTTGTTGTCCAGCTCATTCTTGGTCGAGCTATATCCTCGCGTTGGCCTAAGCTTGGCGGAAAAGCCACACACAACATTTGCCCCCTAGCGTTCGATGCTCGCTTCAGGCTTCGAAGACTATTGCTCGATTTGATGCCAAGTTTGGCTTCTATAGTGAATCTCTGAGTGCATGTCCAAACGGGCTCTTATGGTCGACCTTACATTTGGCCGACCTACCTCACGCTTGGATCTCCCATGGTACCTGTCAAAATTTAGAATATGAAAAGTCAGGTTATAAAGATAATTTCCGCTTGGTTGTGTTGCATTAAATGTGGCAGCCTTTGTCAGTTACGTTTCATCAAGTGTGGGCGACGACAGCTGTTCATGCGCGAAGTTGAGGCGACATGCGACGACGGTTGTCATTACTGCAATCTGACAATTCATCGCTCCTCGTGGATGGTCGACATGTGGCCACACCCAAGGGCTAAGATTGCTTGACAAAGGAAGGGTGAGGATCGACTTTAAGTCGACAGCCACGATTAAACCTCGCCCTTTTGTCTCTCATGCAAACCACTGTAAAAGGTGGCAAAAAACCTCCGAATAGTCACTCTAAAAGTTATTTTGACTCTTTCTTGTTGTTGTTCTTGCGTCATTATGATGGTCTTTCTCACGAGTTCTCGGCACTTTGCCTATTCTGATAAGGCTTCTCTCCCTTATTCTCTTTTGTTTCTCTGATTTTTTGCGTCCAAGGGTGGCTACTGTAGTGGCAATATTGGATGTGCTAAGGTTTTAGTAAGGTTTTTTGGGTGCGTCTCCGGCGATCTCAGATTGGTTGCGTATTTTCGTCGCATTGCGCAAGCTATCTCGAGTGCCTGAAATAGAAGCGAGTGTAAAATGGTCGTCGATTTGTTTGAGCTCTAACATATGTTCGCTTCTTTTTTTAGGTACCTAGAGTTGAGTTACAACCATGTCGTCGTCTAGCAGTCGTACAAAAGATCGAATGTTCAATTCGTCGATAGGCTGGTAGCCCTTGGGGATGTGTTCCCTGAGGTTTCTGAGGAATTCGTCGCTCGAAGCTCGGACCCCGATATTGTGGGCTTGTCCGATCGTGCTTCGATTCAACTATCCTAATCTCCGCCGTCTCTAGTCCATAAGCTACGAAGAGAACCACAATCCTCAATTACCTCTCGAACGCATAAGGGCGGTCTACGCGCTACCACTTAACTTGATGGTTCCAAGGGAATAGTCTCGGGAGAATCCCTCACTTGGATGGGTAGCTACCTTTGAGACTTTCCTTAAGTGCGGGGTATCCAATCCCCCGCATTACTTCATCAATAATGTACTGAGGCGATTCGACATTGTTCCTCTTTAATTGACAATCAACTCTTACGTGATCATTATCACGATGTATATCGTGTACATGATCGCTAAATTGGACGAGCCATTAGTTGAAGAGCTCGTCCACTTGTACAAACTCAAAAAAGGGCAAGACCAAACATACTACCTTTCCAAAGTGAGGAGAGTATGTTTTAACGGACTAATCGATGTTCCGAAAAAAGTTCTATAATGGGATTCCCAGTTCTTTTTTTACGAAGCCCAAGATACTGGCGTCTTCGCTGTGGAAGCGAGTAAGGGTCGGGCTTCCCGTGTATGTGCGAGGTTTATTCTCAAGCTATACATTCTAACTGATTGTCCTGTTTTATTTTTGTAGTTAATGTCGAGCAGAGTTATCTTCCATCCGTGAGCTTATAAAGGCTGGAACATTTTAGCTATCTTCCGAACAATCAATGCAACATTAATGAGCTTCTTACATTTCCTCACCTGAAAGCGTACGGCTTTTATCAGGACAAAGCCAATTTCTTAGCACTTCTAGAGAAAGCTAAGTTGTTGCTTGCTCGCACCTGCTTTTCCGCGCAAAATAGATTGCTAATTCTCTTGCCTTTTTTCCTTACAGCAATATGGGCGAAAAAAGAAGAAAGCGGCTGCCAGCAGTTGCTACAAAGACTCTGATTGCTTTGGGGATGAAACAGCTCGTGAAAATTGCTAGTTCGAAGTGCACTGGTGGCGAGCTTGGAGGAGACCCAAGTGCGAAGAAGCCTGCGACTGCCATTAAGGCAGTTGGTAGGAAAAACATCACGGAGCCCTTAAAGGGGCCAGTGAAGAAGGCATCCGAACCAACTGGAGGTTTGGGAAAAAATAAAGCACTTGAGCAACAAATTGGCATGGGCAAAGAGATCGCCACGCAAGCTGATGATCTTCGAAAGGAAACAGCCAAAGGCTTGGCCAAGAAGAAAATCGCTCCTGCTGGCGAGACAGGTGCTTTTAAGACGAACAAACCTGGCTCGACCCAACCAAAGAATAAGGAAGCAAATGAAGCGGCCCAAGCCGCGGTCGATGGGCTGATCGACTAACTTCCCGACCATATTAGTGTTGTGTCCACGGTGGCTAGGGAATGTGTCACCCTAAGAATATTCGCGGTAGCTAGGGACTCATCTCCCTCCCAAATGTTAGCTTTAACCTGCAGCTACACGGCGAATGTACCGATAGTTCGTGTCCCCCCTTCCCCCTCCCCCCTTTTGCAGGTTATTCTCGTTTCTTGCTGATTTCTCGTCTCCTCTTTTTAGGTTGCCATTGCGAGCAAACTTATGTACGAGGAATGCACTGACACTTTAGAGGTGAACCACCAGAAGTGGCAAGCTGCAAAGACGATAAAGGAAGATGTTATGGCTAGGGCCGAGCTTGTAGAGAAAGAGAAAGAAGTCAGACTTGCTGAGCTCGAGCGGTTCAGGGGGGAAGTCGCGACCTTCCAGGTCAAGGAAAGGGAATTCCTTAACAAACTTGAAGCGAGTGAGGTTGCTTAGGCCAAGGTGATGTTAGAGTAGATGCCCTAGAGCCAATCAATTATTGTGGAATTGACTCTTTGTAATAATGTTCATTAATCAATAAAAGGCATTTTATTCTATATCGCGTAAATCATTATTATTGCAATATGTATTGATATATGTCCTTAGAATGGTAGAGCCGTGACGAGGGTATCTTTATCATTACTCTAATAAAATAGGTGTATGTTGTTTATTTATTTTATTTATAAATGGGGTTTTATGGTTTGGGAAATAACAAAAGATACCCAGCGTTAAATGGTCTTTATAATGTTTAGCTCCTGACCATGACATGCCATTGAAATATTAAAGAAGGTATAACTCAATATATTTATGCTATTTATGAATTTTTTTCCTCACTTATCTATATTTAAAATTAACGTTATTGATTCTGATTAAATTGATAAATTATGTAATATACTAATATGTATATATTAATTGGTGATATAACCGATGTAGCATCTTTATCATATTATAAATTTATTGTAATGGAATTATCATTCACTCTATTATGTGTTACGTAGGAACCAATCACATCATGAATTTAAAAAAAGTAGTAATATATATTTTGCAACGTTATATATATATATATATAGAAAATGACAAAATTAATGAGGTAGATAATTAATTACATAATGGAACAAGCATTAGGGTTTTCGTCACTGAACAAGGCAGAAGCGCGGTCATCAATGATACGAGAATAAGGTGCAGGTTGATAATAACCATAACCGTTGGCAGTGTAGCCATGCTCCTTGTAATTGTATGATGAAGTAGAAGGTAGGTGTTGAGATGAACGGTATTGGTAGCCGTAGGAGACAGTTGCAGCAGCTTCAACTTCAACTTGGTTTTGATAGTTGTAGTTTTGGTGTTGGTGGTGTTGTTGATAGTAGTAGTTATGGTATTCTGGGTTATAAGGATATGGCCACAGCTCCGCTCTCCTTCCAGTCTTTCTCACCGTCTTCAGAACCTTCTTTTGCTCTGCCCATCCCATTACTGTTACCTTCTGCGTCGCTATGTCTATATCTATGTCGTCTACTCCTACATATATCCATCAAACATAACCATAATCATGAAAAACACTGTATTACACATGAATTATATATATTTATATATACAAGATTAAGAGAAATACCATCTAGTTTTTGAAGAGCTTTCTTGATCTTACTCTCGCACCCTGCACAGTCCATATGCACCCTCATCTCTACTATCTGCAAGACAAAAACGAAAACAACGATATATAGTGGCACGTTTTTATATTTATACACACCATTATTAAGCGTTATTGATAAATATGACATGAAATCATTCGAATAATAACATGAAATGAATCATAGAAATACGTATAGAAAATGTTTTTCATTTTCTTTAAAAGAAATAGTAATAATCAAACACACCTTCAAATTTAAAAACTATATATGAAATCTTGAGCAGAACCCAAAATGTGAGAATATATATAATAGTTAGATAATAAACGAAGCGCCGCAGCTTATAAATAGAAACAGAGGCAAAGAGTTATATATTTATAAAGAGAAGAGGTCTCACCGTCATGTTGAGATCAAGTTTTAGAGATTTTAAACTTTGGCTTCTAACTTCTCCAACAGTTCTGTTATGAAGAAAGAATGCAAACACGATGTATATATATATAGGGTGAACCCTCCCTTACCCTTATGAGAGAAGGCAATAGGGATAAGATAGAATATTTTAGAACTAAAATGTTATAGTCGCCTACAGGGCTTTTATTTCAACTTGCTTACAAGAAACAAAACTACGAGTAAGATTCCAGGGAAAGTGCATGGCAGCTACTAAGAGATGTTTATGTATTGCAAGCTGCGCAAACCCACCTTTACAAGTAAGACTTCGTCCCCGTTTAAGAATAGTTATATGTGAATGTGAGTAAAACGTATATATAATTACATATGCAACCTCTTAATTAAGTGTTAAGGTAAGAGTATCAAGTTTCTTGGGCAGTAAGACTAAGAAACTTGTAAGCTATATATTAAACTTCTACGTTTTGGTAATTGGGTCAAATCAATAATATATGGCTTAAAGTTTGGATTGTTAGATGATACTATTCAAGAGAAGAATATGTCATGATCAACTGATTAATTATTGATTTATATAATCATTGATGTATAGTAAATTATATGCTTGATAACGACATCGATACCTTCTTTGAAATCGTCTTGTGTGCACAATTTCGTTGTTTTTAATAATAGTGACCGATTAGTTTTATAATTAAGTTGACAAAAACTTTTCTAATGTATTTTCAGTAGGGAATGAGAAAATTACAGATTTCAAACAAAATGGCAACTTGCAGGGTAGGGAAATTTATAAAAAAAAAAAAAAAAAAAAAATTTGGTTACGCTCTCCTAATTTGAAGAGCATTTAGTTATAGCATCAGATGGCGTAATATGATTACATAATCAACGATTATAGTCTATAGAGTGACTACATTGATTTGTTAAGTGGAAAGAACCTTGAAATTACTTGGAATATTCAATTTGCAGTCGTTATATATGTTATCAGATGATTCAACAGAGTAAATAATCTATTTCGATTTGGTGGCTAAGCTACGTCATCTGTAAATTTAATAGCTGTGGCAGATTTAGCATAGTGCCTGTATGGATGCACTAGATTATGGTTGTTATTTGTTATAATTGATATACTATTATTATATTGATCGATATGGCATTACTGAAAAGAATTTCATAATATAATCATTAAATATACAAAATTTAGTTGGGTTAAAACTTTTCTCAGAACATTTTTTTTTGTAATTAGAATTTTAAAGCTTAAGAAATATATGGGCATTTTTATTAGTCATTAGTCCACTAAATATTATCATTTCACTAAAATATTCTTTGAAATAGTGTATAATGTAATATTTAAGATACTAATCTAGTGGTAAGGTAATTATGATTTGATACCATCACCAAATGGGAAATGGCAGTCAACCACAAGTTTTATCTTGTTTACCAAAAAAAGTGTTAAGTAATTGCACGTTGCTAATATTGTTATTTGATTGGAAGGTCAATGAGCTCACAACTATAAATGGTAACTGCTAAGTTTACAGAAGGACATACAAGACAAACTGAAATCATGTGTTAGTCTAGTGACCCCAAAAGTAAAAAGGTTCTTTTTATTACCGAAAAGAGATTCAATGCAACGGAGATATGTATCGAAGAATATTGTTGCTTTTCCCAGTTTTGGAAAAAAGTCTTTCATTTTTTTCAACACAAAATATCAATGTTCTGAAAACCAGACCGGACTGGCTGGGAACGGGTAGCCTCTATGATCCGATTCAGGTTCTAGGGGTTTTTTGTTATATTTTAAACCTATAGGGGCTAACTTGTAATTTTTTAGGGGTGCTTTTGCAGTATTTCAAAACCTTAAGGACACATCAATTTTTACGGGCACTTTTTGAAATATATTAATTTTTTATGGACTCATTTGCAATTTTTAGGGATATTTTCAATATACTAAAATTTAAGGGACTAATTTATAATTTAAAAAAAAATTGGGTGCTGATATTACGGGTCAGACCGAGCAAACCATGAACCAGGCCCTTAACCAAGTCAAGGCTTGCAAAATATTATGATCTTAAATGGCAATGTTCTGATGGGCTCCGTTTGGTTCATTATTGGGTAGTTTTTAAAATAATCTTTTGAAGAAAGTTAAATTGGATGGGTATAGAATTTTAAAAATTAACATAAATACCCCTATGTTTATTTATTTACTAAACACCCCTATAATAAAATATTCAAAGTTAACAAAAACACCCCCAATCCACTCATAAATACGGACAACCGACCACCACTGTTGGAGGGTGGCCGGAGTTGCCTTATCAACGTATGACCGGCTTGATCTTGGCGATCGTGTGCTAATATGGCCTTTTCCGGCCAGATCCACCGTGGATCTAGCCGAAAAAGGCCATATCTGGCCGCATTTGGTAGTCAACGACGGCTAAAGATCTAGCCGTTGACGGCCAGATCTTTGGCCATAGATCTGGCTTTTTCCTGCTAGATCCAATATGGATTTGGCCGGAAAAGGCTAGATCGGCGTACTACCGGCCAGATTCAGCAAGTAGTACGTCATTACACCAGATTCTGGCCAGCTTCCGACAGTGGTTGCCGGAATCTGGTAAATTTGGGTTACTGGGGTGTTTTTGTCAATTTAAAAAAAAAAATTGGGGGTTGTTTAGTTAAATTAATAAATTTAGGGGGATTAAGGAAATTGAATAATTTAGAAAACTATTATGAAAATAGGTGAAATAAAGTTAACTTTTTTGGGAAAACTAGAATAGTTTTCCCAATATGTGAACCAAACGGAGCCATGATGTTTGATGATTTTAATAATAAATATAAGTACACAACATATTTTATTTTGTAACAGTGTTAATAGTAACAACCTTGTAAGCGAAAATATTCTAAAAAATTTGACTGGAAATGGTCAGATCGATGCACAGCTAACGAGATCTGATTAGTCGTACGCCGTTTCAGCATCAGCAGTCGGCGATGGTGGCCATATTCCATATTTGGCTACCAGTCTTGGGTAATTTTTTAAGTTCAAGGGTATTTATGTTCTAAAATTTTCGTATATAATGATAAAATAGTCCATAAATATTTTTATAAATTGTATTTAAAACAAGGGCATTATTTTCCAAAAATTTTAATAGTAAGGGATAAAATTGTAACAAAATTTATGTTACTAAGTAATCCTCAAATACCTAAGAAAATGATTGTATTTAAATTACCACCTATATAACTAACCGCAAAAACTATTGACTTTAGAAGATTACTGAAATCTTATATTACTTAACAATCAAACATGATAATATGGGGCCGCTTGGATCGGGGGTAAATAAATAACGGAGCTAATCTTCGTTTATTTTGTAAAATTCCTATGTTTGGTTTGTAAGTAACAAAATATTATGAGAATCTTTTATTGCAAATAGTGGTTACTGTTGGTAATGTAGGGGGTAATCTTATTACCTTGCTAGGGGGTGTTATTAAAATATTACTGGGGTAATATGATTTTTCTACCAATTTTGTCCTTAATTAAAAATCATTTCGGACATAATTGCTCTTAAATGTCTACCAAATAACAATTAGCTCAACCCTCTACATTTGAGAAATTAGCTAAAACAACCCAACCATGAAAAAGTTTAAGAGTTAACAAAATACCCTCAGTCACCCAAGATCATCGCCAGTCGTGACTCATCATCGCCAACCACCGGCGTTAATCGCTGTAATAGTGCACGACTAGCGGGATCTGGGCATCTGGCCAGTTGTGCGCCAGTAACGCCTTTTCCGGAGATCCATGGTCGGAAACGACTAGATTTGGTGTTTCTATGGCCGTTTCACGACTAAAGATGTGGTCGTGAAATGACATGACCACATCTTTGGCCGTGAAATAACCATAGATCTAGCCCTTTTTTTGCCATAGATTTGTGATCCATGGGCATTTCCGGCTTTGTTGGTGCACGGTCGGCCATATATGGTCAGTCGTGTGCCATTTCATCGAATGCCGGTGGTGGTGGCTGGATGTCGGCAATGGCTTGGGGTGGGTGGGGGTGATTTTACTATAAAATAAAGTTTTATATGGCTGGGGTGTTTTTGCAAAATTTCAAATGTAGGGGGTTAAAAATAATAATAAAAAATACTATTATATTAATATTTAAAACGGAAGGCAATTGAGTAATCTATATAACATACCCACCCATTTATCCTTTCAACCAAACATACTACTCACCAATTTATTTGAACCAACCAAACATATTTTTTAAAAATTCTTAGTAATCTTCAAAGTGATCTTTTTTTTCGTTAATATAATATACCTATATAATAAAACATTATATGATCCAAATGGCCCCTATAAATAATATAAGATGTCATTACCTTAATAATGTGTATAACCCAAACTAAGCAACCCCTAAGAGTAGAGGTGGACAGGGACCGGTCCCAAGTAGGCCCAGGCCTGGGCACGTTTGGGACTGGTCCCATTTAAGTAGAGGTGGACAGGGACCGGTCCCAAGTAGGCCCAGGCCTGGGCACGTTTGGGACTGGTCCCAAATGGGACCAGTCCCAGGCCCATGAGAAAAATTAGGACCTGGACCAGGCCTTAGGCCTAATAGGGACTGGTCCTATGGGCCCAGGACCGGTCCTAGGACCAGTCCCATGGGGCTTGGATAATTAATTTTTCCCCTCTCAATTTTTTTTTTTTTATATTTTGGGGGCAAAATAAAATTTTATGGGGGGATTTTAGTATTTTTTAGGGGTAAAATTTATAAATTTTATAAATTTTTTACACCTGGAAGATTTTTTTTTTTTTTTAAATTTTGTAAACTGTCATTTTAGCCCTCTTAATTTATATTTATTTTCAAATTAACAGGGGGTTTTATGTAATTTGACAAGGAACTATATTGAAAAAATACAAATTTTTTTGGGCCCAGGCCTGGGACCTTGGAGGAGGGCCCAATGGAGGGCCCGAGCCCTCTTCCTTAGGCCTGGTCCCGTTTTGGGACCAGACCTCCTAGGCCCGGTCCTCTCGAAGACCAGTCCTAGGACCAGGTTTTCGCGGCCCAAAAGCCCAGCTCTACCTAAGAGCTTGTTTGATTGAAAGTAATCTCCCATTACGGTAATGTCATCTTATATATCCAATTTACTAATAAAATCATCTATTGGTTCAAGAACTGGGCTATGTTACTTAAAAGTTACTTATTATGTTGTATATGTACAAACATGTTATAAAATAATTTTTAGCTAATAATAAGGTAGTACAGTCAGTACTCAATGTTTAATCAACACGAATAAACAAGGATATGTACTTAAAAATGCAGATAGTTGATCAAAAACTCAAAGTTCTTCATTCTACGGAAATGTTATATGGATAATAAATCAAATAAGATAAAAGAAAAATGAAAGAACACGTACGATTGATGTGATAAGACTCTGATTAATTAGTTGCTATAAGTCTAAATGAAGTGAGATTACAAACATTCACGAATAAACACTCCGCTAACAGACACCATAAATACGATTAATCACTAGGCAAATCGGTCATTCAGTGAGGCTTTAATTTAGAAAGGCAGTTGATCAGCCCCGCCAGACACAGAGCTAGAAGCAGCGACACTATTGCGCTCAGCATGACAAAGTTGACGCAGCTTCGTGGGCACGTACCAAATGGCCAGACGAGGATGCGCATTGAAAATGGCATCAATATCCCAGCCTTGCCGTGCTGCAATGCCCACAAGTGGCTTATAACAAGCCTGTCTCCAAGCCCCCACGTTCTCTCCTCTTTCCTTGAAAACCCTCCTCAGTGCATCTGATGCCTCCTCGTCCAGGCAGTGCAACGCATAGCAGTGCACATAGTGTCTCATCTTTGGCTTGTTAATGTAGCTTGCACCAGCCTTCTTTGCATACCTAAACACCTGATTTGTCACCTGCAAATTTCACATGCCCAACTTACACATTTCAATTCAAAAGAGTTGACTAAAAGATTATTATGCGTGAGCATCAGACATAATAATTGAAATGAGCTTGTTTTGTCGCTTCTTTTTATCTGGATGAGATTAAATGCTCTGTTCCTTCAGCCTAGAGGCTCTTGGCGCAAAGTGGCAAACAAGGTTTAGGGATGCTATCTTGAGGATGCATGCAAGTGTCCTCTGTACAATGAGATGAAATTTTCTTTTAACCAGAAGATACAGCATAACCCTGACTAAATCTTGCAAATATAATCATCCGATTACGTATGATCGTGATCACAACCACCAGGACATGCCACCTCACTATTTGATTTGTAAAAGGACACCAAATTATTTAAGAATCCTTCTGCAACCTGCAATTTTCTGCCCACAATTCACAGGCCCCGTACTGCGACTTGTCATATTTGCATGGAACAGCTTGTCACTAAAGTACCTCACCGGGGGGCCAAATCCCGGCCAAATTCTAATAGCTCCAGCTCATAGGCTGAGTCAAGTCACGAGTCAATGCATATGTATAATGGTCAGGATTGTGGATTCTGGACCGTCCTAGTGATGAAATGGACGGTCTAGATTATAGAGCAGTTACCTTGGTTGGGCATTTTTCGCCACGCTCCTTGGCGATGTTCTGGACTTGGATCAAGAAATCACGGCATTGCTCATAGAGATGGAACAGGTAATCAAGGCCGTTTTTTTTGCCACGTGCCACTTCACCCGGCTCCNTGGTTAGGGTTTAGGGTTGGGGGTAAGTTTTCGGGAATATTATTACCTAAATAGTTGAGCATTTGGTCTAAACTAGCCTTATATCTCAATTCACTCATGTAGACCTTTTTGTCCCCACTTTTTAAATTTTATGGACGACATTGCCCTTGTTATTGTCACTATTTACATAAATGTCATTGTACCCAAAACTAACCACCACTACCAGCCGCCATCGACTGCCGAAAGTCACCATAATGGCATAAGACTAGCCATATATGGTTGGTTGTGTACCGATGAGGCCTTTTCCGGCCATGGATCACATATCCATGGTCGTTTCACAGTGAGATCTGGCCGTGAAATGACCAGATCTATGACACTACCGCTGGTCGTCGGCAGTGGCTGGCTGTCAACAGTGGCTTGGGGTGAGTAGGGGTGTTTTTGTTAAGTTTAAAACGTCTTTGGTTGCTACGTGTTTTTGCTAAATCTGAAAAGTAGGGGGTTAAAAGAATCATTCAAAAAATAATAATAAAAAATAATATTATATTAATATTTAAAAAGGAGGACAATTTAGTAATCTATATAACATACCCACCTATTTATCCTCTCAACTAAACATATTGTTCACTAATTTATTTGAATCAACCAAACACATTTTCTAAACATTCGTGATAATCTTAAAGGTGATCTTTCTTTCCGTTAATATAATATCCCTCTATAATTAAACATTGTATGATCCAAACGCCTTCTGGACGTTAAAAAAATTACCCAAGGGTGGTGGCTAGATCTAGCCACCACCATTAGTGCCAAAACGGCGCACAATAGGCCCGGATCTGGCCGACCGTGTGTCGATTTAGTTGTTTCGGCCATATCTCTAGTCGAAAACTTCCAGATCATCATAGATCCGGTCATTTCCAGCCATATCTATTTGGCTGTTGTTGACTACCAAAACATTAGCTGTCAATGATGGCTAGATCTCTGGCCTTTGACGACAGCCAGATCTCTGGCCATCAACAACTAGAACTCTGCCCGTTAACGATAACCAAATCTCTGGCTGTTAATGACGGCCATTTCTACCCACCAAATTTATTCCTCCCAACCAAACATATTAATATAATATATCCACCAATTTATTCCAACGAACCAAACACATTTTCTTAAACATTCCCAGTAATCTTCAATGTAATCTATATTTCCATTAATATAACATTCCCAGTAATACAACATTCCTGGAACCAAACATACCTTTTAGGTCTATGCTACATAGAGTATGAATTCACTAAATTTTAAATGACACCTCAATTTAGGGTTAATTTTGTCAATTCTCCTTATTTATATGTTAATTGAAGTGTAATACTGCACAATATAGAGGTCAGGTAATACAACTGTGTAACATAACCAAAACAGCACTGATAAATTCCCAAAGTGGACATTTGAAGTGACAAAATTACCCTCTATCACAATGGTTTTATGTTATTTTGCTAGACCAATATAATATTTGAAAAATATAACACCCACAACTTTTTCTCACAAACTTCCTCTCACAACTTTTACGTGACAGCTCGCAATTGATTAGTTCATAATGAGTCTCACCTGATAAATTACGATTGACCAATTGCGAACTGTCAAGTCAGGATTGTGAAAAACTGTTGTGAGTGTATAATTACTCATAATATATTTGCACGTTTGTTTATGAAATCATTTTTCTATTTTTAATGTGTTTTTCCATCTTGTAAATTGTAAAATGTGTAACAAAGTGTTAATATATATATATATATATATGTTTTATTTTCATAAAACAGAGAATTTAGGAGAGAGGAGATAGAAAAAATCCAATAAAAAATGAATTTTTTTCCTTTCTCTCTTTTATCTTCTTCCTCCTTTGTAGTAAAACGCATACTTTTTCTTTCAAATCAATATTTTTAACATAAAATTGCAAATGGGAATAAAAAATTGATATATTTGAGAAACCCTTGGAAATGAACAAAATAAATAATAATTTGAAGGGGTTTTATTTGTTGCGTAGGTGATAAATTTAATAACTTTTTCTCTCTCTTTTTTTTTTTTTTTTTTTTTTGTTTCTGGTGTTTTCAAGCTATCATATTGATCATAGAGTAAACGGTATGTTCCCACCAAAGGTTTAACGAAATGACAAGTTCATACTATTGGTTTCATAAATTTTAAATTTACACTCTTAAAATAATGCCGTTAGTGACTATTAGGTTTTAATACAAATGCGGAGATGTTATCACCGAATTGTACTTTTGTCTTCTTCTTCTTTATCTCCTTTCCTCTGGTTTTACCAAATTACCTTCCCACCTTTTACGCGGACTCTTTGCCTCTAGCAAATGTGCGACCAATGGTAAGGTAATGTTACCGCACCCACAAGACAATTCCCTATCATTTATATATTTAAAATTAAACTAAAAAAATAAATTTTAATTTTCAATAGATAATTACATTAAACATATAAAATTTTCATTCTACGTAGTATGATAAATGGAAAAAAAAGTTAAAAAGATTTTAAAATTTTCAGTATCCCAATTTTCTTTTTAAATTAAAAAATAAAATAAATTAGACCACAGTTTTAAAATCTTTTTTAATTAAAAAAATCTATTTTTATGAGTGAACAATTTCTATAATTTATCTACATTAGCTTCAGTTCGGCTTTATTTATTATTATCAATATCATTTAGTATTGTATAAAATATTTACAAGAAAAGTCATTAATTTAAAGAAATTAATCCCTCCGTTTTATTATATTGTGTTTATACTTAGAGCATCTCTAATGTGCTCTTTATTTTGAAGAACATCTTTTATATAAATAAAAAGCATCTTCATTAATTTTTAAATATAAATAACACAATTTTTATTCAAATCCAATACTCTTTAAATTTAATAAAGATGTTCTTTATTTTTAAGAAAGAGACTTAATGAGAGAGAGAATTGATAAATAAAATGCATAAAAACTTATAGTTTTTTAATTAAAATTAGGATAGAGAGTGAAATTTGACTCTCTAAAGGTGGAGAGTCAAACTCACTCTCTAATTTATATTTTAAAGATAAAAGTCTATTGGACCCTTGTTAATTGATAGACTCTTTATAATTAAGAGTTTGGATCATATAAAGAATCCTTAAAGATACTCTTAAACAATACCATAGATCTAAGTTATATTATTATTTATTGTAAAAAAAAAAAAAGAGATTTAGCCAAATTTAATTCTATTCTAATCATTGGGAGATTTCCGTGTCGTCCCAAAAATAATATCGTTGACTTTTAGTTAACCCTTATTGTAAATAATAATAATTTGTGTAAATTAAGATGGCAATTTCTCATTTACAATTTTGTACTGGTCCATAGGACCATAGCTAGAGTTTGGAATTAGGCAGACTTTATTATCAGAGAATTAATTATGTCAAATATTAATTTTTAATTAATAATACCATTTATTTGCTACGTCTAATAATTTATATAACATTCATCTTTTCTCGTCAAGTTAAAAAGATATAAAATATTATTTACAACTTGTTATCTTCTCTACACTGAATATAAGAAGAGACGAGACCCATTGTATTGTATCATGTTGTATACAAAAAAAAAAAAAAAAAAAAAGTTTCAAACAACTTTTGAAAGGAATTTTTTTTTTTTTTTTTGCTGCAAAATTCAAATTAATATATATATAAACACCTTTAATGTTATTTTATTATATGTTTCGTAAAAAATTGACGTTCCTAATTTTTGTTTAACTTCTTTTCTCCCTAGTAAGTTTCCCCATTATTCAACGCTTTGCATGATAAGACAAATGAGGGTATTGTTGAGATTTCGTTATTCGGCTAATGGCGTAAACCTATTTTCCCTAGTGTCAGTTTTGGAATTTGATGGACAAATTTTTTTAAGTAATATTACATTCACAACTTAATCTCATAACCTTCTTTTACAACTGCAACGTGATAGTTGAGTTGGAAATATAAGATTTACATCACACAACGTAAAGTTAAAAACTGATTTTGTATTAAATTAGTATTAATGGTCCATGCTTTGCTTCAGTTTCAAACATTTTTTTTTTTTTCAGTTTTTGTAACCATTATAACAGGAGTTATGACAGTCATTAAATTTGACTATTAAAGTTTGATGGGAGCTTTGCCTATAAATTGAGATTTTGGTCTCTAGGCTCACTCACTCAACTCAAACAAAATATACAATCATATTGAGTATTCGGAGAGCTTAGAAGAGCCAAATGCAAGAGAGATAATAGTCAGTGTGTGATTGAGAGCATCAATGGCTGAAGGTAAGTTCCTTGTTTTTCCTTTAGTTATTTTTATCCCTTTAGTTTGTCAATTCTGCATCTAGGATCAAAGATTGTCCAACATTTGGTATCAGAGCTATATAATACATTTGCCTTGATGTTTTGCAAAAAAAAAATTTGAGCTCTCTATTCATGGCCGTTTGAAAAAAAAAAAAATTTCAAAATCAAAGTTTGTTCTTTAGTTGTTTTTAATGCAAATAAATGTTAGAAATCATTAGAAAATTGGATTTCTATCATTTTTGGGCTTTGAAACAATGATTCTAGCGTTTAAATGGTGGATTTCTAGTCGGGTTTGGCTACTGGGTTTGCAGGTATGAACCGAGAAGATGAAGAATTTTGTTTTTTAAGGAAATATGTCTAATTTTGCTCATTTTAATTATGCATATTAAATTCATTTTGGTTTAATCATATGCAATTTGGATAAGTTAAACTAAATTAATTATGCTCATATTTATTTTTCCATGAATTGATTTATTTATTTTTTTCTAAATTAATACATGCAATTATATATGGATAAAAGCATGAAATTAAATGTTATGCCTAATATTATAACTTTAAATTAGGCAATATTTTATGCTTTAAGTTATGAGAATATTTTGTGCATAATAATATGTTAGTTATAGTTAAAATTAGGCAATTTATTATTCTTATATTGAGATTTTCTTATGCTATATATAAATTTTCTCATGAAACTTAATTTTATAATGTCTTGTGATCCATATAATTTTAATTAATTAAAGATTAGCCACAACATCTTTAGTTAAATAAAATTATATATTATGATAGTTTATGTTGATGCAAGAATTACACCAACTAGAGTAATCTGATTGACCTTAGTGGAACCAGAACCGATGTGTGCATGATTAAAGATAACTAGCAATGTAATGAATGTGAAAACAGTAATGCAAAGAACACAAAAGGTTTTTAAAGTGGTTCAACAAGTTTGAATCTGGAGCCTACGTCCACTGTTTTTCTTACTTGCTTAGAAAGCTTACAAGAAAGTGATATAATGGCTAGAACAATTTGCTAACCCCTTTTCCGTCGTTGGAAAGGGTTTATATACAAGTTTTTTTACAAAGGAAATAGCGAAATTAAAGGAATTACAATCAAGATAAAAGTGCAATTTCGATATTCTTGCTAAGATCGCTCGAAGATCGTGCTAAGATCGCGCTATCACTGTTGTTGATCTAATCTCTTCCGAAATATCCGGGATCTGAGCTTATCTGTGATTTGCTTGAACAACTGTCAAAATTGATCGCGACTAGCTTATGTTGGGTCAACCTATGTCTCTACAAGCTTATACTAGTTCGGACAAGTGTTGAGTCGAGCTGATTATGGGTCAAACTACAACCTGGCGGAACTTCGACTTCTTTGAGCTTAATGGAAAAATCACACACAACATTTGCCCCTAGTGTTTGGTGGTCGTTTCAAGCTTCAAAGACTAATTGCTCGATTTGATATTAAGCTCAAACTTCACAAGTTGTATGTTGAATGCAGATTTGGCCGAGATTCAAGAGTCAAACTTAATCTCAGTCGACGTGAACAAGACTTAGACTTTTCTTTGCTATGACATTCACGATAGACCTAGAATTTGAAATGAGGGGCATCCGAGTAATTTCCACGAGGTCATGTTGCATTACATGTAGCTGACTTTTGTAGTTACTTTTTGTCGCGCATGGGTGACTACAACTATCCACGAACGAAGTTGAGGCGACGTGCGACGATAGTTATGATTGTAGAAGTCCGACGATTGATCGCCCCTTGTAGATGATCAACACGTGGCCACGTCGAGTGGTAAAAATTGCTCGACAAACAGAATGCTGAGATTCATCAAAGATCAACGGTCGAGGTCGAATCTCGCCTCTTCGTCTCCCATGCTCAACACTATACAAGCGGGCATCCTTCGTTAGAAATTCACACTTGCAAAATTTTAGAGTTTAGTTGTTGCTTTTGCTCTGTCGTTGCTCTCTCAACTTCACGACGATTTTCCGATGAACCCCCACCGCATTCCATACTTCGATAAGGCTCTTTTCTTCTCCCTTATGCATTTTAAATTGTCTTTGCTATTGAGGGTGGCCATTGTCGTGGCCACATTAGCTTTTTTTAAGGGATTTTTTAGTAGTTCCACTGGTTTGGGTTTTAGAAGGGTTTAGGGAGGTGGCTGCCAGAATCCTGGTAACTCGCTTGTATCTGTTGATCAATGCGAGCTACATTGGGTGCCTGAACTGAAAGCAAAGTGTGGATAGGTTGCCACATTTTTTAGCTCTAACACTTGTTCGCTTCTATTTCAGGTATGTAGAGGTGTGCTTCCACCATGTCTTTGTCTAGCAGCCACAACATAGATTGGCTTTTTGACTCCCCGATGACCTCGACTGTTCGCGGGGAAGTTGTCTCGGAGGTTTTTGAGGACCTCGTTGTAAGGAGCTCAGATAGTGATGTTGAGGGCTCCTCGAACCATGCTTTTACGGAGACTTTTCCACCAAGGAGGTCTCCAGTTCACAAGCCTTAAAAGGAACCAAGTTCCTCAATCGGGGCCGAGGATATTGAGTGCATAAAAGGCGTTTATGCGACTTAACTCCCATTGAGGGCTTCGAGAGATATCTCTTTGAAAAATCCCCCTGCAGGTTAGGCGGCGATTTCGGATACCCTCTTAAGGTGTGGGATGTCCATTCCCCCTCATTATTTCATTGCCAGCATTTTAAATAGGTTTGGCATTGCTCCTTTCCAATTGATGGGGAACTCGTATATAATTATTATAAGTATGTACATAGCGTACATGATAGCTGAGTTGGGCGAGCTATCTGTGGAAAAGTTTGTCCACCTATATAGGTTGAAGAAGTGTTAGGACCAAATGTTTAACCTCTTTGAGGTGAGGAAAATACACTTTAATGGTTTGGTAGGAGTCCTGAAGAAGATTTCGAATTAAGACTCCCAATATTTTTTTCTATGAGGTTGGGAAGACAGGTAGTTTTGCCTCAGAAGCTAGTAAGACTCTGATCTTTGTGCGAATAAAGAGGGTTTCCTAGTCCGGCAAGCGAACTAACTCTACATTCTTTTTGTTTTGCAGTAAACATCAAGCAAAACTTCCTTCTTGAAGTGAGCTTAGAGCGGCTTCAACGTTTTAGCAATCTTCCCAATAGTGAGCGTGGCGATACCGAGCTCATCACGCTCTTTGGCTTGGTGGTGTATCACTTCTGTAGTGACTCTGCAAAGTTCTGCACCATTTTTGAGAAAGTTAAGTGCTCGGTAGCCTGCTGTTTATGTTCTTGTCTCAATAGGCCGCAAACAACGTACCCTTCTTTGTAGATATGTGGGTTGAGAAGCCGAAAGGCTTGAAGAAGAAAGTACCAACCCGTGGGGCTACCAAGAAGCCGTCGATCATCCCGGAGAAGAAGCATCCCATAGATACTGTTGGGGCGGCCGTGCAAGGTGCCTCGCGGTCGACCCTCAAACACAGTGGTAGCGAACTTAGGGAGAGCCCAAGTGCAAAGAAGCTCGCAATGGCCTCTAAGGCAGTCGAGTAGAAGGGGGTGCCCCCAAGCTCCCCAAAGGTTCGGCGAAGAGAATCCCCAAGCAAGCTGGAAGCTTGGGGAAAAAAAAAGGTGTCCGAGCAACAGGAAGGCTCAAGCAAGAAGAAATCGACCAAGTGGTAAAGAGGCTTAGGAAAACAAAAAATCACCGAGCAGTAGGGAGGCTCGGGCAAAATGATTATCGGGCATCCTGGTGGCCCGAAGGATATCTTGGCCAAAAGCACAGCCAATAAGAAGTTGTTCCGGCGGCCGAGGTCGTCATCCCAGTTGAAAGCAAGTCGAGCTTGCCTCTACAATGTGGCAGAAGGAAAATGGATGAGGCAGCTTAGGCTATGCTTTATGAACTGATTAATGGGCTCGTTGAGCATATAGGCATTAGAGCCTCGGCGACCAGGGATGCCATTTCGTTGTAGACCTACAAGAAGCTCAAGGCTGCCCCTCCTCACGAACAGCTTGCTCACGACTGTAGTTATGTCACCAAGGTAATGGTAGTTTGCCTTTCTCGCATTGTTAAGAGGCTTTTTCGTTTACTTCTTGCTAATTGTTTCTTCCTTTTTAAGCGTACATGACAACCAAACTCCTCCTTGATGAGAGTTATCTCACCTTGGTGGGTAATCACATAGGATGGTAAGAAGCAAAGAAGTTGAAGGAGGACGCCTTGGTGAGGGCCGGTGTGGCGGAGAAGGAAAGGGCACAGCAGCGGGGTGCCAACAACAAGTTGAAATTTGAACTTGTTGCGACTTAAAAGGCCACATCAAAATGGGAATCCAAGTATGTGAGCACCTTGGGCCAACTCTTCCAAGACAACGAGGATCGCAAGGAGGCCAAGTCAGTGGCCGTCCGGCTCAAAATAAATGATAAGGAGATCCACTAGAACTAAGAGGTCAGTCATTCCTAGTGGTTATATAATGTACCTACAAGAATCTGACTATAATATTGGAGTTGAGAGTGATCTTGAGTTATTTTCACAGGCCATGAGTTGCAAAGAGTCAAAATTATGGTACAATGCATGAAGGAAGAGATGAGTTCCATGAAGAGTAATGAAGTTTGAAATCTTGTTGAGTTACCTGATGGTGCAAAAGCCATTGGATGTAAATGATTCTTTAAGACAAAGAAAGGCTCATTTGGAAACATAGAGAGATACAAGGCGCGACTCGTTGTTAAAGGATTTACTCAAAAGGAAGGAATTGATTACACGAAGACCTTTTCTCCTGTATCTAAGAAGATTCCTTGCACATCATTTTGGCATTAGTGGCTTATTTTGACCTTAAGTTGTGACAAAAGGATGTGAAAATGACATTTCTTAATGGAGACCTAGATGAGGAGGTTTATATGAAACAACCTAAAGGATTTCCCTCTAGTGATGGTGAGCACTTGGTCTGTAAGCTCAAGAAATCCATATACGGTCTAAAACAAGCGTCCCACTAATGGTAATTTAAATTCCATGGAGTAATTTCTTTATTCAGATTTGTTGAAAACCCTATGGATCAATGTATATACCAGAAAGTTAGTGGGAGTAAGATATGTTTTCTTGTTTTGTACGTGGATGACATTTTGCTTGCACCAATGATAAGGGTTTGCCACATGAGGTAAAACAATTCCTCTCTGAAAATTTTGATATGAAGGATATGGGTAGAGACAGATTACGAGGTATCTTGGGTCTGTCTCAAAAAACCTATATCAAAAGGTTTTAGAGAGATTTCGGATGAAAGATTGTTCACCAAATGTTCCTCCCGTTGTGAAAGGTGATAAGTTCAATTGGACCAATGCTCAAAGAACGATTTTGAAAGGGAACAAATGAAGAATATTCCATATGCTTATATTGTCAGAAGCTTGATGTGTGCTCAGGTTTGTACAAGGCCTGACATGACATTTGTTGTTGGAATGTTGTGACGATATTAGAGTAATCCAAGTATGGACCACTGGAGAGCTATAAAGAAAGTGATGAGGTACCTTTAAGGAACCAAAAACTACATGTTTATGTATAGACGGACGGACAGTCTGGAAGTAATCGACTATTCAGATTCAGACTTTGCTAGCTATGTTGATTCACGCAAATCAACATCAGGATATGTTCTCATAATGGTTGGTAGAGTTGTATCTTGGACATGTGTCAAGCAGCCCTTGACTACTACTTCCACTATCGAAGCTGAGTTCGTTTCCTGTTTTGAGGATACTTTAAATGGTGTATGGTTGAAGAGTTTCATATCTGAGCTTAAAGTTATGGATTCCATTTCTAGACCATTGAGAATGTACTGCGACAATTCAGTTGTTGTCTTTATGGCTAAGAACAACAAAATTGGGTCGAAGTAAACACATTGACTTTAAGTACTTAGCCATAAAAGAACATGTTAAAGAGAAGAAAATGGTCATTGAGCACATAAGTACTGAATTGATGATCGCTGATCCTTTGACAGAGAGCATGCCACCATTGAAATTCAAGGATCATGTATAGAAAATGAGACTTGATTCCACTATGTAGTTGTATATACAATGTTTGAATGAAACTTTTATTTATTGTGATGTTTTCTCATATTCATGTGCACCTTAATTTTATTTTAGAAAATTCAACTGTAGGACTAAGAATAAACATAAGGTTTATTCATTAAGTGAAGTCGCCATATATATAGTGAACTTGAGAAATTAAATCCATTGTAATACATGGAAGATAATACTCATTTTCAGAGGACTTGTCGCTGTGATTCATGTATTTGTTTCTTAAGAAAATAATGGTTTAGACGTGTGGACCAAGTGGGAGAATGTAAGATTTATGTTACACAACATAAAGTTAAAAATTGATTTTGTATTAAATCAATATGAATGGTCCATGTTTTGCTTCAGTTTCAAACGTTCTTTTTTTCAGTTTTTGTAACCATTATAACCAGAGTTATGGCAGTAATTAAGTTTGGCCATTAAAGCTTGATGGGAGCTTTGGCTACAAATTGAGATTTTGGTCCCTGGGCTCACTCACTGAACTCAAACAAAATACACCATCATATTGAGTGTTCTGAGAGCTTAGAAGAGCCAAAACGCGAGAGAGATAATAGCGACTGTGTGATTGAGAGCATCATTGGCTAGAGGTAAGGTTCTTGTTTTTCCTTTGAGTAATACTATACTGACAAAGAAATTTTACGAAGATCTCCATACAAAGTGATGTGTCAAAAATGAATAGAATAGTGAATTTAATAAATTTGACTTTTTGTTTCACTTTTCCATTCATTTTTTGCCACATCAATTTGTATAGAAATCTTTGTAAGATTTCTTTGTAAGTATAGTATTATTGTTTTCCTTTAGTTATTTTTATCCCTTTTATTTGTCAATTTCGCATCTAGGATCCAAGATTATCCAACAAGAAATTGTCACGTCAGCTCCCATCACACCCAAAACACTAAATGACTTTGACTAGACACGAACGATCGTTTCTTAGGAACGAACGATCGTTCCTTCATAAGGAACAACTGTTCCTTCATAAGAAATGGTTGTTCCGTATGAAGGAAAAACCATTTCTTCATGAGGAATGTTCATTCCTTAAGGAGGAACAACCATTCCTTCATAAGGAGTGGTTGTTCCTTATAAATGGAACAATCGTCCCTTCATAAAAAATGAATGTTTCTTATAAATGGAATAATCGTTCCTTATGAATGGAATAATCGTTCCTTATGAATGAATGATCGTTCATCTCTAAAGTCTTCAGTTGATGTGATAGTGTCAACTCTGCTGCCACGTTAGGTTTGTAAGAGAAGATTTTGAAATTGGGTTGTAAACGTAGTATTTTTGAAATTTTTATAAGTTTCCCATTTTTTTCTCATTCAACTCTTATTCTTCCTAATAATAGAAACGAAGGTATTATCAGGATTTAGTACTTAGGCAATGGCAAAAACTAACTTCCCTTGACAGTTGTTAACTAATAATGTCCCAAAAGATTAGGTTTCCACACCACTACTTTCAGCAATTCACCAAATTGAAACCTATTTTATAACTTCAAATAATTGTTTTGAACCTAATATAGTGCTATAAATTGAGTCCTTTTTAATAAGCTCTTTGGATTTAAGCACATTAATGATAATGTTTAAAAAGAAAAAAAGAAAAAATGGAGAAAAACTAGCCGACGGATTCGCCTGATGGCAGCTGACAGATGTACCGGAAGGCAGATGACGACGGTAGCCGAAATCCATCACCAACCGACAATTTACACAATTGTGCTTGTTGTTTGTCAAATATGGCGGCTTTCTACGGATTAATGCCACCAAATTTTGACAAACCGTCGATACCATTACGTAGATCGCCGATCGGTGATTTCAATGGTCTTGGTGGTGTAATATCACTTGATGGCCAATAATGTATTTTGGGTTTTTAATTATATTATTAATACAATTTTAAAATTTATTTATACATAATTATAATTTATATTTAATAAAATTATAATTTATGTTTATTCTTAAGATATTTTGGTAATTGATTTTCTAAAAGCTAGAAATGCCTACTTTGGAATCATTCAATAAAATTAATTATAGAAGAAATAAATTGTTCCATAATTATTTTAAAAATATATTTATAAAATAAATTTTGAATTATTATTTAAGAAAGAAGTTATTATAGAACTAGTTTATCAACCCCAGCCTCACTTGCAATAGCTCAGAAGTAATGGCATCATGTAATTAGTCGAACGTGAATTGGCTTTTATAATACAAACTTTTAAAATAAGAAACAGTCCACGTGTCTAATATAGAGGGCATGGACTGAATGGGAGAATCCCAAATCATAAAGTACGTGTTATCCACTGGTGAGTCATGGTCAAGGCTACCATGGTTGACTCCAGTAAATCGTCAATGTTTTAGTCTATACATTATTCCAAATTCGAATCAATCCTTTTGGAAACATCATCTGAATTCTGAACACTTGATATTTATCATGATATATAAGGATTTTCTTTCATTATAATATTCTATATTTGCAATTTAAAATATAAATACATTTACCCAATGAAGGTGAATATCTATGTTATATTACAACCCAGATATATTTGTCATAACCTTTCAAAACTTAAATATATAAAATAACATATTAAAGATTTTATACTTTCATATGCAAAATATAATTCATTTAAATAACATAAAATAAAATTAAAAATTATTATTAAGAATTCAGCCCAAGCAATGCGATAAAAGTTAAAGCACTTTATTTCATTAACAGATAACTACTATCAGTCATGAACCCATTATATAGAAGAAGTAAAACCCCTAATAAATTAACAGAAATATGAACTATATAAAATTTCTGATTCTAATTTTTTTTGCCAAACCTTTGATACTTAATCTGATTAATAATTCTTCTTAATTCTATGGGAATTTTTTAAGCAAGAAAAGTTTCTTCAAAATCTTCATGACCACTACGATACTAGTACTACTGCTGCTAGGCCTTCCCGAACTGGACATCTTCAAAGCTTGAGTACAACAAAGCTCAACCATCGTTTCACTTGAACGGGGTCCATGCCCGCTTGATAATTTTACCGCCTCTTTCTTCTTCTCCTGCTCCTCCTTCATCGATGAATTCGAAACGACCCTTTCGATTTCTTCGTTGAAGTCCTCCCACAACATGTCCATCTTCTCCTCGCCGCACTCTTTCTTGGATAATTTAACTTCATTTAGATAGCAAACAGAGAAGCTCCTCCTTGAAACATCTACTTCTTCTCTCGCATCGCCGGCGTTGTGAGAATCCGGATAAACTAGAGAAGAGACTCGCCACAACGATGGAGAGATTGCAAAATTAGGAAGAGGGTAGTTGATCTTTGGAAAACTGAAATCTTCTGATGACACCATTATTTTTCGAACTACTTTGTTTGAACAGGTTTTCAAAAACAAAAAGTGGTATTGAGGATCATTTATTTTGTTGAAGTGGGCAAGTAATGGAATTGTGTAAGATTTTTTTTCCTTTTGGAAACATATATATATGCGGGTGTCGAAATGTAGATACTATATACAAGTGGTGGACATTAATGAGAGGATGGTCATCCCAGCAAGCGCCGGATTATTCGGAGGGCTAAAGAGAGAGAAAGAAATTTAGCGTTTAAACACATTATGTGAAAGGGATGGTTAACCCCCAACTTAATAGATGAGTCGGCTGAGGAGAGAATCAAAGTGGTTGGCCGGTTCGTCCACATTAATAATCACACTTAAGTAAGCTGGATGAGTGTTCAAATTTTTAATTAAAATTAATAAAGTGACACACATATAATGCTGAAAATATCTTCTTCATAAAGCTCAAGATTTGGATATTTTCAGGGCTAAAATATGCATGACTAATGGTTATGTATATCAAATTGGTTGTTTTAATGTGTGCTTTTCGGATATATGTGTAGACGGTAAAATCTACGGTTACAAATACAAGGGTCAAATCTTGTGTTGCGAGCTACTAACAATCTGATGGACTTGCGGGGAAGGCAATGAAGGCTATTAGGGTTGAGGTAGCACTAGGAAGACGTCAGAATATTTCGGCTGCTTGAGAGCTAGAATGCGAGAACTGGTAGGTGATTTCTGAAAACCTGATAAGAGGGTTTGCCTCTCCTTATATAGTGAACCCATGGGGATGGTATCTTAGTTGGATTCTGAATCCTATTCAGTAGAGGAGTTCCAATTTGGGAAGAAGATCAGATTCGTTCGCTTTATTAGTTGAGGCTTTCCAATTTTGGATAGGATACGAGATCCTACAATAAGAGGAAATTGAGTGGGATTCTGATCCTTTGTGGACTGTTGTGGGCAAATGGGCTGTACCCAATTTAGCTTAACTCGTAGGGTAGTCCAACTCATAGAGTAGGCAGTTCACAAGGTGAATTTAAGCATAGGCCCAATTGGAATTGGGCTAAGGCCTTTGGGCCATGACATTGTTATTTTGTTATTGGACCTCGTAAGGTCCAATATGATTTTTGGCCTATACAGTTTGTCCCCCACTCTTTAAGTTAAAGGGTATTTAGCTTAAAGATTAGATTCATTTACTCATATTTGGGATACATATAGGTCAGTATTCCTAGGAGGAAGACCTGGCCGTCATGGGTGTCCCTGAGACACGGTCAACTCGGTTCGATCTTAATAATCAAACCGAACAGAAAAAAGATTGCGAGGATCTCGTCTGAGGTAGTTCCAATTAATCACGTTTATGTTCACTTGGTTTGGCGGTACTTTGCGAGAGAATTGCATCAATCGAGTGGAGCGGGATGAGGCTTTGGTTAAATCCCAAAAATGGGACTGTCCGGCGCTGCTTGGGCTGTGGAGAGACCATGGGTCATAAAAATGGAAAACTGTGGAACACCAATATGGCTTGGAGATTGTCACACTATGATGGTTCGGGTGAGTAATTGAAGACCCTTGTCGTTCCATCTCGGGTGTTATAGGGTAGTCAAATGGAGAATCTATGGATCGGAGCTGAGTCGATTGGAGGCGTTATGTGACCTTTGGAGTTGCGCGTCAAGTGGTTGGTGAAGCTATCAAGAATCCGTGTATGTTGCATGAAGTGGCCGAATGGGGTTAAACAAAGTAATAAAAATGTAAACTTCAAGCCTCTAAAAGATTTGACCCGCAACAGACATCTAAGTTGTGCCTTATCAAGGTGACATGAGAGTCTCAGAAGCGAAATAACGAGGATAGACACGTGTCCTATTTCGTGTCAGTCGCCCGTGTGAGGTGCAAGAGGCAGGAAATTAAAAGTTTTTCCCTCTTGAGTCCCAATGCGGGCCTACCATGTGTCCTCTAGTGATAGGACCTGCCTTTAATATGAGGTCTCTTCGTTTCTGGGTTTATTTCAAATCACAAGACTTGACTTCAAGAGAGAGAAAACAAAAAGTCATAGAGTTTTTCTTTCAAAGGTTAGGTTTTTTCCAGCCAATCTCACAGTAAATTCTCGTTTTCCTTTCGGTTTTTTACTTGTTATTTGCTCCTTTTGTGTTCGTGAGTAAGTTTTGAGTATTTAGGCGTTGTTTTGAGGTAGTTTGAGGCTAAGTTGAATCTAGAGTTTGGGTTTTTGTGAGAAGAATGGTTTTTTTCTCAAGTTTTTGGGTGGTTTTCGAGTGGAAAGTGGTTTTTGGTTTTGGTCTGAAAGAGGGAGAAGAGGGGCAAATCTATCTTTTGAGAGGAATCCAACTAGGGTTGGTTTGGTCAAGCCGACTCACAGGTGACTAGTGATTGTTTCGATTTGTAATCTTGGCAGTGCCGAGTCATGAGGAAGTTGTGGATACTGGAAGTGGTGAATTCTAGGGCTAAGCAGTGCGGTGTCTCTTGTTAAAAAATTGTGTGGCTTTACATGTGGAGAGTGCATCGGCTGACTATTTGCCTAGTCGAGTGATGAAAACATGTCCGATGGAGATGATTATGGTAACGCTCCTACGAGCATCGTGCTTTCTGAAGGTGAAAAGCAAGCCTCAATTGGGGGTGTGAACATAGCGTTTCATGTGGGGCGCGCATCAAGGAATCTAAATGCAAAACCGAGCTAGAGTGGTTCCAGCGGTGGCAATTCGGATGACGATACTAGAACCGAGAGTGACTCTGACGTTGAGTCAGTTGGAAGGGAGGAGGTTTCGTCGACTAGTGACGATCATGGGGACGAGCCAAGCCACCACAGGGGTAGTATGCTGAATGACAATCCTCTTTCCAAGCTTGTCCTAGGGGACGCGTCGAGACTTAGGTATCTCTATAAGATACCCGAGTCGATAGAGATCAGGGTCCTTGCTTGGCATGAGAGGGTTGATTGGTCAGTGCCGGGTTAGATCAGCATATATGAGCAGACTCTGATTGTGGATTTAAGATTCCCGATACTGAGACTGACGCGGGAGGTGCTGAACCATTACGTGATTGCCCCTAGTCATTTAATGCCAAATGGATGGAGATTATTGGTTACCTTGGAGTATTTATGCACGAGTTGAAGATAGGGTTTGGAGTGGTGGATTTGCTCTTTGCTTATCATATTAAGAAGCATGGCAAAGAAAGGGATCGATACCTTTTTATGCTGTAGCATGACCGCAGACATTTAGTGATAGGGCTCAAGACCTATGATAAGAAGTGGAAAGATTTATACTTCTTTGTGAAGAGAGAACTTGTTTTTGGGGAGAACAGAGCCGGGGTGATCCCCTACTTCTAGCAGGCAACGGGTGAGTAATTTTAGAATCTTTAATTTTTGTTGGAGTACTGAATCTCATTGTTCCTTTTTTTGCAAACTTGTCTTACAACCACACGTTGCTGGGGTTACTTGTTGAGGAGAGGAGCCATGGCATACTTGCTGTTGAAATGTAAAATAGGAAATAGAATTATTCTCTTTGTAATATAGGAAATAGAATTATAATAGGAATAGGAAATAGAATTATAATATGAATGTAACAATTTACTTCTTTTATTAGTTTTTTGTTTTTGCTATAAATTCATTGTACATTTCATTATGAATACACAAGAAAATATTTCTCCACATGGTATCAGAGCCAAGTGTTTGAAATTTCAAATTTTTTTTTCTTCTCTCTTTCTTAGAATTTTTTTTTCGACGACTGTTCTCTGGCAACGATCAGAATCTGGTCTAATCACACCAGACTGATCGTCTTCCCATCGTCGTCAGAACTCGAGTGATTTCGTCGCCAGCCGTCGTTGCACACGCCTTCACGCGCCGCTCGTTTTTCCGGCAGCCCCTCCTCTGATCTACTTTTCCGACGAGCGTGAGTTCTCACCGCCACCAGAATCTTGTTCCTTTCCACCTTGTCGGCAAATCCCTTCAAGGTGTTTCCGTCAGCTTCTGCTTCGATCTAGTTTTTTGGCAAGTGTTCTGTTTTTTCGACAAGTATTCTGTTTTTCTGGCGAGTATTCTGTTTTTTCGGTGCATGTAAGTTTCTGCTTTTCTTTCAGCTTCAAGACACTCTGACCTTCTCATGGATTCCTCAAAATCAACCTCTCAGTCACATACAAGTGGTTTTTCTTTTTTTATCTCTCCCTCCCATCACCACTGAGCGATTAATTGAGACTGCTAAATATTCATCATGGGCTGCCTCTGTTGAATTATGGTGTATGGGTCAAGGTCTGGAGGATCACTTGACCACCAAAGCTGCTGATATTACGTCAGATAAGTCTTCCTGGACTAAAATTGATGTTATGCTGTGTAGTATGTTATGGCAAACTATTGATCCCCCTCTTCACCCTATTTACAAATCTTATTGCTCTTGTGTTGATATTTGGAGTCAGGCTAAACTTCTCTATACAAATGACATTCAGCGTTTATATTCTGTTATGTCCAAGTTAGTTCATCTTAAACAACATGATATGAATATGTCGGACTTCCTTGGTAAGATGGCCTCCCTTAAGACAGAATTTAATCTGCTGTTACCTGCTGGTAAATCTGCGGCAGAAGATTTGGCTCAACGGGACAAGTTCTTTATGGTCTTGACACTTGCAGCTCTCGGTCCAAATCTTACACCTGTTCGAGATCAAATTCTTTCTGGATCCACCGTGCCTTCCCTTGATGAAGTGTTTGCCAGATTACTTCGGGTTTCCTCCCCTACTACGGTGCATTCCCTAGGTGACTCTTCGGTCCTTGTTTCTCAGTCCCACACTTTTCGAGAACAAGGCGATCGAAGTGGCAGAGGAAATCGGCCCAAGTGTAGTTATTGTCATCAGTAGGGGCATACCAGAGAGAAATGTTTTAAGTTACATGGTTGACCTACCCGAGCTGCTAATATTGCTTAGGTTGATCACTCTGATCTTCATTCCGAGTCCTCTACAGTGCCAGCTTAGCCCTCCTTAACTCTCATAGGTACTGATTATGATGAATACTTACAGTATCAGGCCAGTAAGCAGTCTTCTTCATCCATTGCCTTCGTCGTTCAAACGGTTAATTCAGTTGCTTGCCTTTCTCAGTCTTCCGCTTTAGGAACTTGGGTCCTAGATTCAGGTGCCTCGGATCATATTTTTGGTAACCGTCGTTTACTTACTCATATTACAAATACTATATATTTACTTCCTGTTACTTTAGCCAATGGGTCTAAAGCCGATGTTCAAGCTATT